GTACGGAAATATGTTGAAAGAGAAAGGAAGCCAAGAACATTTAGAAGCGTTTAAAGACATGAGATTGGAAGAAGACCAGTGAGAAACACAGTTTATACAGTTTTGAACATGAGAAAAATTAGAAGAATCAGTAGGGGAAAGAGGAACAATCAAAAAAACATCATCAGCAAAGAGACAGATTTCACAATTAGGTGGAAGTGACAGAGGTAGATCATTAATAAAAATAAGAAATAAAAGAGGCCCAAGCACACTGCCTTGAGGAACACCAGAAGGAACAGAAGGAGAAGAGACAGAATCATTCACACGCACGCACTGAGAACGGTTCGAAAGATAAGAAGATAGAAGAGACCACAAGAAATCACGCACACCACAACGAGATAATTTTTCTAACAAGAGAAAATGAGGAACAGAGTCAAATGCTTTACGGTGATAGTAGGAAATTATGCATGTCTAGTTTCGATCCGGCGGCCATCATTGATGTCCGTTATTTTAGAGAAATTTTCTAAATGAGGAATACTCAGAGATGCGGATTTCTACGAGGACTCAGTCTTCAAATGAGAAACTACCGTTCCCGTGGGAAAGGACCGAACTATCACAATTGTGATAGTTCGGTAATACCATCATATTCCTCTGTGGTATTAATACCACAGAGATAAATAAGTAGACAATCTCTGTCCTGATTGGTCTTCCCTACCGAACTAACCTAAAACATTCACTCGACCTCTTTGTGGAAACGTTTGTAAATATTACCTCCTTATTCTATCTCGGTAACATACCGAAAAATATGTGCGCATATGTCGTGTAGAGCTGTTGCTATGGAGTTCCTTTTGCAGATTCTAAAATACGTTGCGATTTCTTAAAGGATGTCGCAACGTAGCGGACGCTCTCCTGCATGTTTATGCTACACTTCGAATGCTTCTCACATAAATAAGGAAAGAAAAACTGATTTTTTTGAAATAATTCTATTTATTAGCTTTAAGACACTTAAGTACTTGTAAAAAGTGGCGGCAGCCATAAATTAAGGTATCATACGAATTTCTCTTGTATTTTGAGTGCCGCACAACTCGGATTTGACGAGAAGAATATCAGTTATGGATGGGTAGGGGGTGACATACCACCCCCTCGTTTCGATACAGTTACTCAAAAAGTTTTGACTTATTCAGGAACCTTTTAAGACATTTAAGTTGAGAAACTGCCTTTTATGCACCTGAGTAACTCATTTATTTATCGAGAAACTCGCTTTTGCGCGCCTGAGTAAGTGATTTTCTCCAGCTTCTGAGTAACTCATTAATTTACTGAGAAACTCGCTTTTGTGTGCCTGAGTTTGGTCCAAAAATGCGTTACTCAATAAAAAAATTTAGTTACTCAGCAGACTCTCCACCCCTACAAAAACTACTATCGAAAACACTGCTATTTCTTACCCCAGGTACCATTGTATATTAAAGAATGAATAAACAGTTTTGATGCTAAAAGATCATATTCTATCTCGCTCAAGAGAATTTCGAGCGCTAGAAAACCCTCTATCTGATTATTTCATGTTATATAGTTAGTTTATAGAATTGCCTAAGTTATATTGGCATCAAGCTGCGACAATGACGTGAAACGGTCTTTTTATGGTTTTTGCGGGTAAGCGGTGTGGTTTCAATTGTCTCTATGTTTTTATCGTCATTAAATATTGACTATGTTGAAAGAGTTTAGAAGAAACCTTCACTTTCTAGAAAAGCCCTGAGCATGGTGTATTCGGACAAAATTTGAAAAAAACATTCAGAAACCGTTTTTATCTGAAAACCAGACTTTCGTGTGACTCACCGCCCTAATCTTGCCAGAGATTTCGGGCAAACATACCGTTTTAAAAAATCTTTTATGACAAAAATGTCCAGCAGGATCAGCTTTAGTGGATGGCTTTTTTTGCGTTGTTATAAAAGAAAAGTTTTAAAATCTTAGATTTAAACTACTTCTGAGTCAAAGAAACTTTACTTTCATCGCTTATAAGAAACGGAAAAAAATGCAAAAACCTGTTCCTGTCACTCACTCCGGATTTTCATACTCAACATTCAGTACAGCAAAAGCTTTTTCCAAAATACAATCGATGTTTAACTGGGGTTTTGAAAATTTTAATGTCAAAAATGCTTTTTGCAAAAAGTGAGCCTAATTTGTTAATTTCTGGCAAATATTCTAAGTGGTTCACACGAATATTACAAATAAATGGTATTCATTCAGAAAGTTTTCTTTACACGAGAAACCGCACCTGTTCAAGAGCAAATATTCTTTAACGTTGACTCTAACTTCAACGCCGAGTATTTGTTTGACATTTTTCATTATGTACTCTCGATATTTTCGAGCGTCATATATATAAAATTGTTTATTGCAACGAAGGCTTTTATATGATGTAAAAAAGTTGGTCTGGAGTATAGAAGAGAGAGTGAACAGGAGACAGTGTGATTAAAAAACTCAGTTTGGCTCCTCGCGTAAACAAAAAGAGTTCTAAGATAAGATTCCCTTAAAGAATGAATTATCAACTGCAACCCCTTCACGATATTTGAAATTTTGTTTATTGATGTACACTATTGGAAGATAATTACTAATTTCCGTATAAAAAAGTTTTGTATTTCATTGGTTAAGATTATTCTTGATGAAGTCAATCGTCTCTTTTGCTCTTGATTGCTCTCATCTTCTCTATATGCGTACCGTTTATCATGATTCAAAAATTGTTTCCTCTTACCGTTTACATATTGGCCATTGAAACATAGCACACAGGAGAAAAAATCGAGTCGTCACAATATCAGGGGATCCAGAAACATTCTATTTCTTGATTCTCCAGTTTATCGAGCTAACTGTACTAGTCTATTTATCATTCAATAGAGTTGATATAGAGTATTGCTTCTAAAAGCTGTACTGCTCGAAGTGATCGACCTCACTACTTATACGAATAGTTTTTTCCTTCCATCAATCTTAATTCGAATGATTGATATTCCGTTTGGTGAAAGAGGGAAAGTTTCTGAATTATTTTTAGAGTTTTATTTTCAAATTCTTTTTCACATTTAGACATGCAGTAAAGATTACACTGAAAGGAAATAATTACAACTGTTATAAAAAATCCTTCATCGACGTTTAACTTTTATCAGTGTTTCGTGGCCGGCCGATCATTACACGAATGTGAGCGATGAATTCGAGTCGAATGAAATTTTGGATCTTTCAGCTCTTTTCGGACTCGAACATGTGATTCAAAATTGTCTTGACTAACATTAAGTAACGATAAATTATAATCACTTTCAAACATATTTGACGACGACAAGAAGCTTGAGTAATCACTATCTGCGATTTCACTGATATACGATACACCATGTTCAGCATCAACTTTTGAATAGAGAATTTTTGATAAACGAGGAAGACGTTCAGTGCCGGATGTTTGAGGAAATATTAGTTGAAATGTAGGAAATGAAATCTCTTCAACTGATGGTTTCTAAAGAAAACAAACAGAAAGTTCAAATGACGAAATTTAGTTATTTCTTAAAAGTAGAAAAAATAATACACTCTTGTACATACGATCCGATTGTTCTAAACGGCAAGCACAAAATAAAGTGGACATATAAAGAAACTTCTGTCTGCCACTTTTTCGAGCAATCTTTTCTTCTGTTCTAATCCTTTTAACTCTCTAGCTTCCATCGACAAAGTATTGTGTGTAACTTACCAAGACTTGTTCTGCTACTGTGTTACAATGACATGCGATCTTTGATTTCTTAACGAATAATTTTGATAAGAACTTTGGTATGAACGATAATTGCTTCTTCTTTTGGTCCATTGTAGAAGATGAAGAATGAGTTGAATAATAATTGAGGTTGTAGTGTGATTTAGATGAGGATTGTGTGCCATTTTTATACCTTTCATTGATAAGCTCATTAGAAGGATAGTTAAATTAGTTTATGAACTGTATATTAATTCGGTTCTATGTTCTGTCCTTGATTGGTCAACAGAATGTATTAATCTCAAGGATAAGTCATTTAATGAGATTAAGTTATGTGTATATAAACGTTGAACGGGAAAAAAGTTCTATTTTCTTTTGAGAATTTTAAATTGAGCCACTAGTGTACTTTATATGAAAGCAAGAGTTTTCTTTTCTTTTTATGACTACCTAGTATTTTCGCAGAGTATATATCTCTCGTGTTCGAAGGAGCAGCTTATAGGTCGTTTGCATAAAGGTCACCGGTTACGTCGTACAAAAAGTTGAAATTTGTGTCCTTACATCTAGAATCCAAAGGATTAGTCACGTTTATCGAAGTAAAAGTAAACAATAACTTTTTATATTCAACCGACTTCCTTTTCGAATGGTTGATTATTTAAAGTTACTGTCCGCTCTCATGGTAATCATTTAGAAAACATTTTCGAGCACAATTAATCAGTGCTCAGTGTTTGATTCAATGAGATTTTTAGTATTATCTTTAATTGAAACAACAAAATAAACAGTTACAGCTGTAGCGGCGTCGATGATATAACATAAGCTTGTATACGTTATATCTGTATGCTGAATATCTGTATGTGACAATTCTACTTCTTATAAATTTTGAGAACTGACTGTGGCTTCTATTCAGAAGAACGAAACTGGAACTCTTTTCTTAATCTTTTTTCATATGCAAGATGGCATAATTCGTTTTTTACCGGTAAACTCGTAACCACATGTTCACGTTTTGGTTACACAGTGTAAGAATCTAACTCATATTTCATGGCTGAATAATTCCACGAAGCCTCTGCTACTATTTTTACAACCTCATTTATTTTATTTGTGCTAGTTTCTGCAGCACGTATCGAGTCGTATAACAATTCATATTTGATATTTATAAGAATATTTCGAAATCTGAGGCAGGACATCGAAACATCGCACAAAGCTGGCTCATCCGAAAAAGGATTATTTATAGTATATTATTGACTTTTGGAAAATAGTTAAGAAACAGCTGATCTTTATAGAGATTTCCCAAACTTTATATAAAGAAACTTTAATACTTGCATTATTTATTACTAGTATTAGGTGAACCAATTGAAGAAAATCTGACATGTAGGTTGAGAGATGTGAACATCTTCCATTTCACTTAAAAAAAGTATATTTCTTGGGCTGGGGCTAACCCAGATAAAGGGAACATTTTCCTAAGGGAGCATTTCAAAATTCTTGCCGTTCTCTCTGTCGCTCTGCCGTTCTGCCGCTCTGCCGCGGCATAACGGATTATTTTTAATGACATTTCGATATATTATCGGTTTCTTTTGATATATGTATACGTATACATGCAATTTATTTTGGTAGATAAATTTATT